GAGAATGGTCTGAAAAAGAGAAAATATCCAGTGAGCGGCAGTTGTGTGGACGAAAATGCCTTGTTGAAGTCAGAGGTCAGAGGAGAATGGGCAGTCTGGTTTGAGATGATAGAAAGGCAACAGTAACTCAAATAACCACCAGTTACAACCAAAGTATGCAGAATACCACCTTGTTGAATCTATGCCACAAAGAATTAAGGAAGTTCTGAAGGCAATAGGGGGTCCAACCCAGGCACTAGAAATATGTACCTAATAAAGTGATGAGTGTATGTAGTCCCAAAAGGTTTCTTTTAGGTTAATTTGGTAGCACATAGTTTGGGAAGGCCAAGAAGGACATTTTAAGACCTATTTAATGTCTCTCAGGAAAACCATATTCATAAACTGGATATCTATTGAGCTAGTCTGGAAGCGATCAGTGAATACAGTTTTGCCTACATATAGACTAACCTATGAAGCCTGAGGCTGTCCTGGTAAATTTGGTGAATTTGAGGAGTGTATTTCTTGTCCTAACTCTTGTGAACACCATGTTTCTATTTCACCTCTTCAATGAAATGACTTGGCCTCAAAATGCTTTTTATGTGCCTTAAAACACCTATTTGCACAAACAACACTTGCAAAATGACAGCTGCAGTAACTTTCATTTATTGCCGATCTTTTTATAACTGTTCCCAACCCTGCGGTTCTCAATAACCTTACCTCATCTAACTGTTTATCGTATGGACTTTTTATTTGTGAATTACCAATAACTGATGGAATAAAAGAGAAACTTGCAATGTTACGTAATAAAAATTGCAGTTCCCCTTAAAGCAATACACAATAACCAGACTATTTCAAGCTCCAGTTACTGTCAAAGCCATGAACTGGGCCTGCCAGTGTCCTCCCATGTCCCTGCAGGGAGCACTCCCGCGTGCTCTTTACGCCCTTATAGGACACTGCAACTCTGCACTCTAAGACCTAAAGGTCATTTTGATCCATGGTTTTAACCACAAAGATGTGAAAAGAGCCCTTCAGGGGATGTAAAAGCCAGCAGAGAAAATGCATTTTATTAATTTATACAACATCAGCACACATTTCAGAACTTTATAAAGAAACCCTGAACCACTCACACTAGTTCCTCCCTTCAAGAACCTTCCAGTCTAATGCAACCATTCTCAAGCAAGGTTCCTCTAGAGGTGGCTAGGGGACCTAAGCAGTGGCTGACTGATGGTGCCTGCATATTTCCAGTTCCAATGCCACATGGCAGAGTCAGCAGAATGACATCAATAATCATTTTAGCTATCTGTGGCATTCTTTCTACTGTCTACCAATGTAAGGGGCATTTTTTCACTGCCCTCCAATTAATTGGTTTGGCGAGGGCTCCCCAAGACCTAAAAATTACTTTAACCTCCCTAGCGGTCTGATTATGTCAGTATTTCTGTGCTCAAAGCAGTACATTTTTTTGCATGGAAATATGTATTTTTTTTATTGTAGGCCTGTAATTTTTAGAAATAACTCACTGAAATCTGTCCAAACAAGAGTCTAGTAAACATTCTGGGTATGATAAAATTTTAAACACGAAATCATAAATTCTAATATAATAAATAATCATAAAAAAAAATTTATATCATAATAATAAATTTAATTCAATAATATAATCAAACCAAAAACACTGAAATTTGAAATAGAGCACCAAGTTCGCACATCACTGATCTTAGTCGCAAAATCGTTTTCAGTGTCTGATGACGAATTCCCCCACGAATCATCACTCAATTCTGCAAGTGGTTCTAATTTACTATCACTGTTCTCTAGCTGGTCTAAAACCGATTTTGACCTAAAGGGACGCTTTTTGGACGCCATGGACGTTTCTCAGTTTCCAGGCAGAAAGAACGGTAAAAATGCAGGCAGGGCACAGGACAAAGCACTAGGGACAAAATGTATGTGAAATGCTTTGATACAGTAATGTAATACTATGTGATTTTAGTGTATTTAGTGAATGTCACTTTTTAACATTTTTTAATTTCCCGCTGGTTCCGTCCCCTGTACATCCCGTACGTCCCGATGCTCGCAGGGACCGAAACCTGGAAGACGGGTGCCCGCAACGGCTGGGGACGCTGCAGGGGGGATATCGCGGGAGCGCAGGACAAGGTAAGTGAAACAGGGAATCCCAGAGCAACGCTGCAGGGTAATCCCTAGTGTAGCTCGGGGTTACCGCTTTTGGTACTGAAAGTTTACCCCGAGCTACACTCGGGAATACCGCCAGGGAGGTTAAAGCTAAAGGTAATATTGTCTAAATACATGTGTCTTGTGTATCCTTACTTGAATCTTGGAGTGTTTTGTGCCTTCCTTCCACATCTTTACAGTAATCCAGTGTGAAACTTTACCTCCGTGCAGGGATTTCCAGTAATACAGACCAGTCACTGCTGCTCTCTCTCCTTGTGCAGAGTGAGTGGTTTGTCTCCGCCCTCTCCTGTAGTTTTCTACAGGCAGCTTGTAGTGGGTGGGGTTTGCTGAGCGCCTCCCACAGCTCTGCTGTCTGCAGAAACTATTTTAATATCAGGATTTGAAAGGCATTTGGTGCACACAAAGTGGATTTACTGTATATCCTTGGTGGTTATTGAGGGTATATTTAAAGTGGAACTTTATACATAACAACTAAAATAATGTTTATTAGCAAAAAAAATACATTCAACATGAATATTTATGCCAACGAAATTAGTGTGTGATTCAATTTGCCTCCAGGAATGTTTCTGTTTCTTGTTGCCAGAGACTGCCCCTTTGCTGAAGCCCAGAGCCCCTGAGCAGCAGTAAATCTTTAGGCTGTCTGCAGATCGGTCTCTATATTTTCGACACGATGCCTAAAAATAGAGAGCAACTGAGCATGTGCAGAGCAGTGTGAGACAGTGTATTACTGGTTTTTAAACAGTATAGGGATTTATTTTTATTGTTTTACATAGCTATACCTGTAAAAGGGGCCAGCCTTAAGTGATCTAGCAGGACTTAATTTTCAGACTAAAGCTCCACTTTCAATGAAAGTTTTGTGTCCGGAGTTCAGTTTTATTTGTTCTTCAGGGGTAAAAGGGTTGAGAAAGATTGGTCTAGTGTCTCCAATGCAGTTGTACACATATAGGACAATTTGTATGCAGAGAGCACATGTGGACTCTATACAGGACCCACATAAGATGGTAGTCACTTAGCTAGCTTCTATAGCTAGTCTGCTGATTGCTGTCCAGCATTATGAAGATTCCACACACAGCTCACATAAGTCAGTCATTAACAATGTAAATAATGAGCAATATTTTATTAGCTTGCCTTCAGAGAACTTCAATTCCATAGGGAGCATATTTAATGAAGGACATGCATAGCATACAGCAGACAGATGTTATATATTCAAGTTACACAGCTTCAGAGATCACTTGGACATGTTCTGAGTGCAGGAGACTCCAAACATCTGTAAAGTTACCATATGGTGATAAATCAGGGGAATGTGCTGTGTTTGAAAGTATTTAGCATTGTCTAAGAGACATGGAACTGGAACATGAGCTCTATGGAAGAGTTAGACTAATGAGCGGGATAACATAAGATACTCTTCTGAAGTTACTCTTCTGAAGAGGACCTGTCATGCAATACAAAAAATACACCCTACAGCACACTTCAAGGGATAGAGAACCAAAACATTTATTGTAGACATTTATATATACATCAGGCCCACCAGGCCCTGCCCTCAAGGATATTACAATTCAAGGTATCCATACTAGGGCCAATTAACCTACCAGCATGCCTTTGGAGTGCAGGAGGAAACCTACATAAGCACACTCCATGAGGATAGTGTCGTGTTTGGGATTCAAACCAAGTATTTTACTGTACAGCAGAAGTGCTAACCAATAAGCCACTGTGCTGCCATACTAAAATATAGATAAATAAAAGTGACCCATTGGGGGGGGGGGGGGGGGGTTTACTAAAACTGGAGCACAAAGAATCTGGTGCAGCTGTTCATAGAAAACCCATCAGCTTCTAACTTGTTCAATTAAGCTTTGACAGTTACCCCTGGTTCACATATCCGCGTTCCTGTGGGCCACAGTTTGCGCAGGTATGAGAGCCCATTCATTTGAAAGGACTCCCATGCCCCAGAACACGCAGGGAAGAAGTCCCTGCACTTCTTCTGAAAACGCAGCCCGCACGGGAAGCTTGGTTCCCAGTATGGTTGCGATTTCCAGTGCAGGCGGCGTTCCATTAGAATTAATGGCACCCACCCGCAGGTCCGCATTCTTCTGTGTGGATGGTGCGGCTGCACGGATGTTTGTGTGGATCCACAGCAGCACCACCCGCACAGATGTGAACCTAGCCTAAAACCTGTGAGCTGATTGGTTTCTATGAACAGCTGCACCGGATTCTGCGTGCTCCAGTATTAGTAAATCTCCCTCATTGAAACCATTTTGGCTGTAATGCAATTCAGACATGTCTCTGCAACAGTCATATTGACAGTTGGAGCTCCATCTATAGTTATTATCCCATATCTTTCAAGGGAAATGTCTGCTGTTAAGATTATTATCATTATTCAGGATTTATATAGCGCCAACAGTTTGCGCTGCGCTTTAGAAAATGAAGGTAGACATAAAACAGTTACAATACAATTTGGTACAAGAGGAAACAGAGGGCCCTGCTCATCAGAGTTTACAATCTAGGACAGTGGTTCTCAACCTTCCTAATGCCGCGACCCTTTAATACAGTTCCTCATGTTGTGGTGACCCCCAACCATAAAATTATTTTTGTTGCTACTTTCATAACTGTAATTTTGCAGTGGGAGGAATAGTGCCACATTGTTGGTGTCAGTGGGAGGAATAGTCCCCCATCATCCCATCATTGGTGTCAGTGGGGGGGGGGGGGGATAGTGCCCCATCATTGATACTAGTGGGGGGGGGGGGAATTGTGCCCCATCATTGGTGTCAGTGGGGGGGGGATAATGCCCCATCGTTGGTGTCAGTGGGGGGAGGAACAGTGCCCCATCGTTGGTGTCAGTGGGGGGAGGAATAGTTCCCCATCGTTGGTGTCAGTGGGGGGGGGAGGAAATAGTGCCCCATCATTGGTGTCAGTGGGAGGAATAGTGCCCCATCATTGGTAATAATGACACCAATGATGGGGCACTATTCCTCCCACTGACACCAATGATACTTACCTTGCTGACTCCTGCTCCATCCTGGGCTCGCTCCCTCCCTCTCCCATCTACAGCCAGCATACCTGGCTGCAGCAGCACCATCTGCACGCTACAGACGCTTACCTGTCAGCTGTCTTCCTTCTCCGGCCACTCCCTCGCTCGATCTTCTTTGCTCTTCGCTGCTGCTGCTCGGCTCCTCCTCTCCAAGCTCCACCTCCTCGCCGGTGATTGGCTGCCTGTGTGCCTCTCCTGAGCTACAGTTCCGGCGGCCAATCACTGGCGAGGAGGCGGAGCTGTTGAATGATCCTGGGGATGTGGCCAGATGACAGGGGCGGCATGTCATCCCACGCACACATCGCGGTCCAGGGAAATGTGGACGTATCTGCATGTGGGCGGACCCGCCTGGAGACTGATAGAGGAGCGATGTCTCGGTTCCTAAAACCATCGGAAATATGGGTTTTCCGATGGTCTTAGGAGACCCCTGTGAAAGGGTTGTTCGACCCCCAAAGGGGTCGCGACCCACAGGTTGAGAACCGCTGATCTAGGAGATGATGATATATGAAGAGTTGCATCCAGGCAATGAGATCAGTCAGTAAACTGCTGGACTACTCAGGAAGCACTGTAGCCATGCTAAAATAAAATCAACTGCTTTTAATTTTAGGCAACTACTTTTAGGCATACATACAGTATATAGCAGGCTTCATGAAAGTCTTTCAGGGGTACAGGCTCCTGTTACATGATTCGGGGATGTGCAATCTCCCTCTCATGTTCAAGAGAAACAAGTAGTTTCAGTTTCATGGCCATAAAGAAAGTGTGGAGACTGATAACTATATGAATTTAGTTAGAAGAAGAGGGCTTTGACACATACTCCAATAGTAAGCTTACATCAAAGCCCAACTCCAGACAAAATGTTTTTTTCATTTTGTTTTAAAAGATAGAAAAATATAGATATGTTAAGCGGTATCACATACAATATGTTTAATAAAATCCAATATGCACAGAAAAAACATTATCTACAATCAATATATGAAATAGAAATGATGAAAAAACATAAGAATATAACAGGTATTATTTAAAAGAAAATAAGAGGCCATTTTCTTTTCACTTTGGATGGCGTATAGAGGAGCTTGGCTTACAAACTATACACATTACAATCTCATTGTACAATCTCTGCACAATCAGCTTTAGGATTTAGCTAAACTATCCATTCCATCTGTACCCAATTAGGCAGGCCATTGTGCTACATAATTGTTGGTAGATTAAAGAAGATTATACAGTAAGATTGTACTATATGTGGTGAGCTTTAGGACCTCTGTTGGGTTTATTTTTCTTCAATGCAATAAAAAACAAACAAAGGTTCCAACCCAATTTCACTTTACTGAAAAGGTGTTTTTTTTTTCTTTTTAAAGCTGCTGTGTCTCTGTCGGAGATAGATTGCCCTTCACTTCCTCTCTTTGTGACTGCAGACAGAAGTTAATCAAAATCCTCACATGGGAACACATGTGCCACAGCATTCAACTCTTTCCATTCTATACTCAGAAGAATAGTAAAAAAAGTTTCAGCTGGCTTTAAGATCCGTCCATGGACTGTTAAATGCTCTCAGGCACAACAGACTTTTAGACATTCAGCACTCTGACAAAATAGTGCATCAATACTAAAGTCCACTGAAGAGAACCCATGGACATTTTGTAGCACAGTGGTCCTCTAGGTTTATATGTGCTGTTGGTTTCATGACAACATACATTGTAGCTAACCGTTATGACTGTCTACAAAGCCTGCATAGCACTCACCCTGTGATGAGGATGGTAGAAGCTGGAGAAGTTCTGCTTCTCACTTTTCAAGTGTTCACATTTCCCTCCTGGAAGGGACAGATGTTCTGCTCTGTAAATGAGATGTCTATGGATGTCTCCTGGTAGCGGTTCCACTACATAACTTAGATTATTGCTTACAGTTATTAGTCCCCTGTAGAGAAAAAATCCAGTTGTATCATTGCCATTCAAAATTGGAAACACAGTACATTGTTTCTCCTGTTTGCTAGTTACACCATATTGTGGGGTTTGCATGATGTTTATATAATGGAATGCCCATTTGCTCAGATTCAAGCACAGGCCCCATTGGTTCCATTTCCCACAACTCCCTGGGTTTTTGGAGATGCCTAGGGGAGTTAAGTTTCTCAGCTTCCCTCCCTCAGCAGATCAGAGAATCAATACCTAATGGGGCAGAGGTAGCTGGGCAAGTGATCTGCAGCCAGGAAAGTGGCCCTCCACTGTCAAAATCAACGTTTGGGCAGTTCGGTCGGAGCCTAATAGCACACAACGTCTCTGAAGACCCAGCTACTGGGGGAAGCACCTCCCCAATTGCTACTGAAGTGCTCAATTTCCAGCTAGATGACTCCCCTCTGTCCTTGGACCCTAGACCTCTCCAGCTATTTGCCTGTTACTAGAGCTACCCTGGACTTCACTTTGGGGGATGCTGTTTATGAGGATAGCTGCAAGTAGCTGTTTTACTGAAGTAGTGACTCTCAGCTAGACTCTGTGTTGCATGTGTTGTGTTGTGGTTTAAAAACTATGCTATGGAGCCAAATAATCCCTGATTGAGTCACCGAGACATTGTTGAGAAGAGTCCCTGTAGCTTTCATAATCTGTTTTGTATTATTCTGCAGTGTATGCATGCTCTTCGCCATTCTCAACCTGTTTTGCATTCTTACTTTTAACTTTGCACCTGTTTAGTAAACTGCAATTTATAGTTACTCCGTGTCTGCTCACTTGCCTGGCTAACTTAAATGTATTTGAAGCTGATGGGTTGTGAACCCAACAGAGTTTTATCAATATTTCCTATGCCCAAAACCAATATTAAATATATTTATTACCTGTGAATTCTAATGATTTTATTTGGAAATCATATGCAGTTTTCCCTATTGACAGCCCATGCAGGGTAGCAACCAAGAACATGCCCCCATCTCTGATTAAATGAGAGCATGGCGTGAGTGTTATAGGCAGAGCATGTTTTCCTGAAACTTCCCTCTTGAAGGGTGCTTGAATACCACTCTACATCCAGACATTTGGGACATGTCAACGTTTGAGGAATTGAAGCCAGTAAAAGGGAAACAACAAATTAACATAGGGTTTTTTATAAAAAATATAGATGCATTACATGACATTTATTATTTCGCTGTAGTTATCCTCAGTCCCAGCACCCCCTGTGGGTTAAAGAATCCAAACAGAAAACACTTATGAGAGCTTTAAGCACATTGTGCTCGAAATTTGGTAGCACTTTGAAAAAGTGTGAAAAGAGGACCAGGTAGTGGCCTTAAAGTCTGAGAAGCAGATTTTTAATGCTGAAATGCACAAGAAACACCAACTGCCCTGGTGGAATGGGTTCTGATATGGAAAGAAGAAACTTTGACCCTAAGGCTGTAAGTCCTGCAAATAAATTGTCTGATCCACATAGCAATGGTGGAAGAGGAAGCATGTTGCCTTCTAGGAAGGCCCACAGGTTAGACAAAAAGGGACTCAATCTTGTGAATAGATGCTGTGGATTTCAGGTAGATCTGAAAGCCCTGACCACATCCAGACAATGTAGGGCAATTTCCATGTAATGTTTCCAGACAGGACAGAAGCAAGGAAGAACACTGTCCTCAATGAGGTGGAAATAAAAGACCACCTTAGGTAGGAAGGAACGTTTTAGTCTCAAAAACACTTTGTCCTTGTGTAAAACAAGAAGGGGCTCTTTACAGGAAAGAACTCCCAGCTCAAAAACATGCTCAACAGATGTAATGGCTACTAGGAAGGCAGCTTCCAACAGAATATCTATAATTATTCAAAAGGAGATCTCTGAAATACAGTGAGCACCAGGTTGACATCCCAAGGTGACATAGGAGTTTGAATTGAGGGATTTATATGAGCAACTCCCTAAAGAAAAGTCTTGATGAGAGATTCCAAGGAAAAGGGTTTCAGGAATAAAATAGATAAAGGAGAAACCTGTCCCTTGAAGTTATTGAAGACCGGACCAAAAAAAAGGCCACGTGACAGAGTATTTTCTGGGAGTTAACTTCCTGTCCTTGCACAAAGTAAGCCTTCCATGTGCAATGGTAAATCTTACCAGAGATGGATTTTCTTGCGCTGAGTAAGGTGAAAATAACTCTTATCCTTTATAAAGGATTAAAGACAGCAACTGAGATGGATGATGGAATAAGGGGGCATTGGGCCAGTACGTCTGTTCTGTTTGGAAGAGGTCATGGCTCCTCTGCCAGAAGTCTGAGAAGGTCCATGAACCACGTTCTTCTGGACCCATTTGGTACAATGAGAACCACTGGAACCCTTTCCTCCTCTATCTTGTGCAGCAGTCGAGGGAGGATCTTCATTAAAGGGAAGGCAATAACCAGGTTTGAGCTCAAGGAATCACCAAAGCATTCATTGCAGAGACTAGAGGGTCCCTGCTCTTGTCTACAAATTTGTTCAGCTTGCTATTGAACCTGGAGGCCAGCATATCTACATCTGGTGTTTCCCATCAAGGAATTTTACAAACAGGTGTTCAACATCAACAGGCATGCGTATAAGATGCTTTTTACAGCAGACCAAGTTTTTAGCTACAAAATTCAGCAAATACAAAATCCATATGCATACAGAAAAGGGAGATTAAAGAGCTGGCAATCACATTCTCTAGAGCATCAAAAAAATACAACAAAGTTTATAGCATCAGCTGTAATTGTTCTAAAAGAGCAGGGTCCTCAAAGGCAGGTTCATGTTCTCTATTCATATGTCCTGCCCAGCTAGAAATCATCTGGAAAATGGACATAACAACAAAAGCTGGCTGCAGGGCAGGACCTTGAGGGGCAAAGAAGGCCTTTAAGAGGGCTTCCAGATACCTACCAACAGATCCCTTAAAAGAGGGAACATCCTCAAGAGGAAATAGGATTGTAGTGTGTTTATTAAAAAATTAAATTGCAGGATTCACCACCGGAACAGTGCATTTCTTTTTAGGTTAGTTTCCTGTAGGCCATGTGCCCTTTTGTCCAAGCTCCCTTGTGCCTGTGATCTGCAATGAGCCGCTATAACCCATGCATTGAGTGTTCTTGTGGCTGTGTCTCTGTACAAGATGGAAGCAGGAGTGAAGCAATGTGCTATTATGTGTTCTAGGAGGAAAAAGCGGTTGGACAGGTGTCTTTTGGAAGTGTGACGCAGTTACCTCATCTTTCTGAGACTATGGCTAGGTTCACACCAGATGTGGTGGGACTGCATTGGGCAGATATTCCAGCACAGTCCCACTGCAAGACCTTGTCTCCCTTTCTGCACAGTTCACACCACTGGTGATGTGCAGACGATG